AAGTTTCACTCGTGATTGAATGTAATCAGTTATGCAAAAGTGCATGGAAATAGAGCTGCAGAGAGACACTTTGGACCTCCTACCACTGAGTGTATCATGTAAATATTACCTAATTACTAAATAAAAATACTAAAAAAAAGATAATTATCTTTAAAATATTGATTTCTTAATTTTGGGTTGGAAAAGTGGGGGTCGTCTTATACATGGGGGCATCTTATAGATGGAAAAATACAGTAATACATTTCAGTCAGTTAGTTTTTATTTACAGCCTAAAGGCCCAAAAGCATGTTACAGATATAATCTAGACTTGGCATTAGATAAAATAGTTTAACAAATAAAATATTTAATGAATATTACATGATAGTTTTAAAGCCCCAACTCATAGATTTGTTACTAAAAACCTTGTTTTTATAGCCATAGTTAAAAATCTGGATGTTGCCACGGTAATCTCAAGATTTTCATCTGCAAGTAAGTTTTTTACATACTCAGAAATATCTCCTCCTAGTTTAGATTTTAAAATCAGCCAGATAACCTCCTGCCAAAGACTGTTATGAAATTCACAATACAATAAAATATAATCCACCGTTTCAGGATCAGTACCATTACAGGGGCAAAATCTTTGAGAGATGGGAATTTTTTGAAATCTACCATACAGCATTCATTTAATCTGGTTTTGGAAAAGGTTATTATGTATTTGCTTAAATATAAGCTTTTCAAATATTTGTTTAAAAATATATCTGTAATTAATTCCAAAAGTTACAGTTGAACACGATACTTTGGCTTTAGCAATTAATTCCTGTACTGAATTATCCCATCACCTTTGTTTGATACAATTAAATGCTGATGACATACCCCTGGAAAATAAATAATCAGGATCAATGCCATTCTGAATCTTTTGAGTCACTTATTTATATCACATATTTGCAAAGGATTCATTTGGAATTTCCTGAAGCAATCCTTTCTTATTTTTAAAAACATGTATTTGCATCCAAAACTTCATAGTGCCTAACCAACCCTTTGTTTTCATCAGCATTGCCCAGTTTCCAAGAGAATAACAGAATTTGGAACACGGCTTGGGACACTTAAAAGACATCTTAAAAATTTTGCCTGCAATTGTGCTATGTGATCATTA